GCGAGCGTGCGCACGTCCTGCCATGGAAGCCAGTCGACTCAGCGAAGACGGCTGCGTTGAATTAATGCTCTTATTTTCGGATGGTATGTACATACTATAGCCCAGCCCTTCGCCCACTTGCACTCTCAGGAAGTCGTCGGTGGCATGGCGACCAGCGCCTGAATGAAACCTCCAAAGATGGCCGCAGCTTCTGTAGCACCCGCATCGTGTATCATCTGCTGTCGGCGACGCCCTTGCTCCAGCCAGATTGATCCGCCAGTAGCTGTAGCCGCCCGGCGTTCATTGCTCCGTCGCATGAACACCGAGAGCATTGTTTTGCTCTGTAGGTTGACAGGTTTACGTAGCTCGCCTTCAAGACCCTCGGGTCAAGCAGCGAGGAATTGAGAGCCCCTCGCGCGAAGCCCGGAAAGCCGACTAGGGATGCGTTAATCTAGGGTATACGTACCCGAGGCCGTTTGCTGCTTTTGCGCTGCTATCAAATCATTCGCCAAAGATGGTCTACATAGCCCCACCTTCCACCATGTTGCAGGGGGAGTCCAGAAGGAGCCCAAAAAAGAAGAGCTTGGCAGACGACCAAAATGGCTATACCTCTGAATATGGCTGGATGGGGTATCTGCCGATCACTACTCGATTCATCACACAGCGGGCAAAAACGATTCTGGGGTCGAGCACTTTGGGGCAAGCGCCGACCGTTCCTGCGCGAGATCGCCGTCAATGTTCTCTCCCACTCCCCAGCTTGATCGCTGAGGCTTCCATTCTACACAGCTGGTGCCGTCTGTCGCCGGATAATTGCTGAAACTGGTTCGCAGCATGATGGAGACCACCTGACCAGCTAGAAGTTAAGATGCAACGGGATGAGAAAGCTGTAAATCCACATGGCAGAAGGACGGGTGATGCCGCCAGTGTTACTTGAAATAGAACGCTAAGCTAGGCGCCATCATCTAGCACAAGCCCTGTTGGTCAAACGGTAGGTACGGCAGTTTGCCGATATAACCACCACGACCTAAAGTCTCGCAAGCATGGTCTCAAAAATCAGTCGTGGCGGCCTTCACGATGAAGTTGCTAGCCCACACACCACAGGTTGGGAATTCACCAAGAAACTTTGTACCTCAATTATGTCTTGAAAGCGTGACCAAGCGATCTGCCTCATAACTCATCGTGCTGCCTTCCAAGGAAGAGACTATGTGAAACACGAGCATCTTACATAACAATAGGAAATATTCTATATTCCTCGCCGTCGCATTACTTTCCTCTCTTGATCGCCCATCCCAAATGCCACCGAACGAGCCCACCATCAAAGATAATACTCTGATAATCCCTCTGGTGGGGTTTGCCCTCATGTGTTTTTGCTCGGCCCAGAGTAGGCAGGCGGTGGAAAGGGAGGCACGTCTGTAGCCATGTAGGACTGCCGATCGACTTTCACTGTTGTTGTCACGAGGACTCCGTTACCTGTGTGCTGCGGCCTATAACCGCTATCTCGTCGTATCTGCGTTCGGTGTCGCCTCAGTTGATCAAGAGAGATATTCAACCTGTGTTTCGGACTGTCCCCGCTGAAGACGCTCTTCGACAATGCGGGTCGACGTCGAGACCCGATGCTAACAATCAGCAGACGTAGGCTGGGCAGACTCGCACACAGCATCGCCACGGACTGCTCAATGAACGACCACACCACTATATCAACATGATCCCACGTCTCATCGAACGTTGTGCTGTACTCCACCAGATACTTGACTCGGACGGCGGAAGTCACGCAGGCGCTATCTGCCGTGTGAGTACTCTGCTCCATTCCTTGCGCCAGAGGAAGAGTCCCTGACTCACAAGGAACCAACGCTGAATAGCGCAATGACTGCCAGACGCTGCTGGAGAGAAACTTTCAGCTGCCACACGTGCGGGATCGGTAAGAGCAAGATGGCGATATCTTCGGCCATGGCGAGTCCGCCACTGCTGTATCCCACCGCCTGCAGGTTCAGACACCGGCGGTCAGTTATAGTGCGGTCCCAAATTGATTGGACGGGCATGCATTGCACCGCAAACGGGATGGTGAAGAGCGTGCCGTGTAGTAGCAGAATGACCTCGATGCCCTGTGCGATCCTCCGGAAGGTCTCCGACGGGAAGATGCGGCGGAGGAAAAGCACGATTGACAGCTTCACGGCAGCTTGCAGGACGGTGTAGATCAAGTTTCCGACGTAAAGCATCTGGCTCGTCGTCAGGGCGATGCACTGCAGCCAGTCGGCGGGCTCATATCCTCAGACCTTACGAATAACGACACCATTCCCAACGGGTATCGTCCAATAATGCATGCCGAAGCCGATGCTTGTGATGTGCAGGTAGACCGCAGTGAGGGTGACGAGGAGGGCCTATAAGACAACATCAGAAAGGCTTGCCTGAGAGTTCGGCACCAGTTACCGCCGCAAAGATAGTCATGTGGTCGTCCCCCCATAGACCTCCAGCGTACCGTATACGAGTGTAAAGGCGGAGTGCCACGGCAAGAAAGACGATGCTGCTGCTGATGATGAGCGTCCGCCGAACCTCCGTTCTCCGCGATGCCTTGGGATACGCTTCGCACAGGGCTCCCTCTATAGCCGCCGCAGCTTTGAAAAGTTAGATAGGCAGTGAATGGGAGAATCGGAGCTCACCTAGTTGATCGCCAAACGGGCAGCTCATTTGAACGCATGTCGATAGTTCCGACTGGACAGCAATGTTTAGACAGATGCAAGTAGCCACATCCTCTGGATCGCAGGCGGACATGGCCAATGTCGTGCGGATACACTCAGACTAGATGGATAACTTTTCAGTGTAGAACATGCCCAGACGACACCGCAAATGCTTACGGCACATGCCGGAACCTGCGAAAGGATCTCGGTGGCCGACTTTGCCGTCACAACTGACATGGCAAGCTGGAAAAGCAACAGTACGAAAGCTGGTGATTGACGAGCCATTGCAGGGTTGCTGATGAGCGCGGGTAGGCTGAGGCAGATGGAAGGCGCTCGTGTCACCAGGGTTTGGGACTGGCCTCGACCGCATATCATGGATTGAGACCGGGTTGAGGGGCCCCGCCGAGTGCGCGGCACCATCGCAATAAGTGGTGTATGTGATGCTGAGACGCATCCGATGTTGGCTATATTAGATAAAAACTGCTTCTCTGGCTGCGCGGGAGAATGATACGAAGTCACTTATAGCGCTGGCGGGCAGCTTGCGGACTAGTGTCTGGCTCTATGTCTTCTTCCGTTCGTTACGAGCTTCGCAACAATGGCAAACTCGGTGTCTGATGACTCGTGATCTGCAACTCCATCCAGAAGGCAACGCCTAGAACGTTCAAAGGGCTGGTTGCGGTATATCGTCACCCACAGTTGTGCTGCGCGCCCTCCCGCAGGGAAGGGGCCGCCAAAAGGTGCATACTGCTTCCGCAGCATGCTGTGTCTATGCCGATCATTCTCGAGAGGTGCCTTTGGTGGAGCCTGACATACGCCGGCCCGTTCACAAGTGCAGACATCACGCGGGAGCTACAATGACACAAGAGGCTCTACAGTATTCGACAAGCAGATCACAATGCATTCCATTGCGACGTACTGAGAATCACTTAGTATACATCGTCCTCCCCTTCGTCAACATCAGACCCAGAGCTTTCTTCTGACAGCTCCGAGTCTTCACGAAACTCAGAGTCCGTATTGGGCGTTTCGTGGTAGTCGTTGTCAGACAGTTCTTCATTCGACGAGTCTGAGCTTGCGATGAAATCAGATTCAGCTAGAAAACTCCCATCATCCTCATCGTCAGATTCGTCTTCATCCATATCACACGTTGAATGGCCTGCAAGCCCCATCTCGTCGTCGCTGAGCGTGTCGAGAAGTAACTCGGACACGTCTGCGGTGTTCAACTGAAAGACAGCACGTGTCCGGTGCATAGATGACTCGTGGGTATCGGGAAACAGAATTCGAACGCAGCAGTACATGTATAACATCTTTCTCGACACTGAATCGTCGCATACGTTGAGGGTTGCGGGCAAAATTCCGGGATGGACGGCGTCCTCCGGCGCATGGATTTCCCAAATCCGCGCGGAAAACATCAGGACTTGCTCCAGCACCCTGATGATGACAGGGATGTTGCCAAAGTCGAAGTCCAGTGTCCTGTCAAACTCGAACAGCAGATTCGTTCTGTTGTCCGCTGGACAGCCGTCTGGTTGATCGGAAGCCTCGAGAACTTTCAGGCACGCCAGGAGTGCGGCTACCTTGACGACAAAGTCTTTTCCTTGGAGCGGCCCGCGGAGGCTGCTTACGACGTAGTCAATAAACCGTTTTCCCGAGGTCCCATTGATATCTTCTTTAACCCGGTCAAACGGCGGGTACCACGTGTCGTCAGTCAGTCCATTGTGGGGGCAGTTGACGGCCAGGCAGATGGCGAGGCAGCACCGCTCGTCTTGTCTGAGCAGGTTGGTCCTGTGTCTTGTTAGCAGGATACTCGCGTAGTACCGTGATTCTGTGTCGCCTACCACATCGAATCCATGATCTTCGTAGTCAAGTCTATAAGTTTGAGGCTCGATACAGTACCTCTCTTCACTTTCACCAGTGACAAACTTTTATATAGCATGCGACGCGGCCCCATACCAAAGGCCTGCTGATTCAAGAGCAGATACAGTAGCACTCTTCGTATGTGCGCTGGTGTTGGCATCTGATCTGTGCAGCCAGTTCGGTGGAAGCCATCATAAGCTCAGCGATTTACGTCGTAAGCCGTTTCTGCAATGGCGCCGGCAGCTGAGAGGCATCCTTTGGAGGGTCTACTGTGCGGTACGTAGTTATCTATGCACGTATCCATGTGAAAGGCATGCGATGCACCGAGACGGATCATCTCGCTGCCCACTGACGGACGAAAGGTCTGATTCATCTCCCCGCTCACTGAATTAACGACAACGGCAGCTTCATGTGGCCTGCAGATTCTTACCAGGCTCGTTTGGTTAACATTTGGCTTCTTCTACAAGCCTTGTGACCGCGTTTCTGTCAATATTGAATAAAAGGATTCGCGACACACACTTACAGTGACAAACTCAATGTCATACTTACATTTCGGCCCAGTCGAATGAAAGCCCGGCATGGCAGCCAGACCTTCAAAACGCCCTCGCCAGTCAAGCGGTCTGCCTCTATCAACCGACATAGACAACGCAGTCGCATCCTTGGGCGGGAGAACCCATGCAATTGACCTCGCCAACGATACCATACAGTCTCAAAAGGCACCAATCAGTAAGGAGAAGCGTCTGGAGGAACTTGTGAGAGACTCCGGCCGCCTCAGACAAGAACTAGACTACTGGAAAGGCGTGGCCCTCACAGGCACTACCTTCATGGCCAATGTCGACGAAGCCGTGGCGCAGCTCCAAGACGTTGTTAAAAGATTCTTGAGTACTATGGATGAGAAAAACGCTGTCGTCGCAGAAAACAGCATGGGACATGACCATTCATCCGGGTCTAGCCTCAACGAAGGCGTAGCGAAACAGACTAGGGGTAGGCAAGACTTGACAGCACCACAACATAGCCTTGACGTGCTTCTGGCTCCTGTGAGGCGGGGCCGAGGAGGTTATGACTTTGAGGCTGTTGACCCGGAGATGGTCCGGAAGCACCCATATAGTCCCGGAGGCTGGCTGTAGTGCGATGGTTGAATTGCAAAAAGAGAATGAGTCATTGTTACAGTATGTACAGTACATACTGTGTGATACTGCATCAGAGAAACCTAAGATTGAGTATGTATACACGCATAGTGCGAGGAGACCGCAGTGACCATCATAGACTTCTCTTATCGGATTTTCCAGAGATGCCGTGGCTGTTGCCGAACATGTGGTAATATGTGCTTGAGCCCACCTGAGTTGCTGGCTTGAGTCGCTGTGCTGTAAGCAGTTACCCACGGAAGTATTTGTCGGTGGCAGGCTGTTCTTGTTTTTCCGGAACGCATTTATGGGCTCCTCAAACTTGTACTTCTGGTGCATCGACTCTTACGGAGAGGTTTACAGATTCTGCGAGCGTCTCATGTCACTAATCCAAGGGAATCTCCTATAACGTCAAGCCTGCTTACTTTGATATTGGCTTCGTCTCATAGTCGACTGCGAAGGACACCTCAATCGGCACAAAACTCCTGAATAGAATACCTAGCGACGAGCCAGCAACGGACCTTTTAGCCAGTGAGCACGATTGTCGCCGTCATTTCTTAACGGCAGTCGGAAGCACCTCTTCAATTGCGGAGCCACGCAGGGAGAGGACTGGAAAGCACGCCTGTGCGGTATATAAGAGCTACTCAATGCCGATAGCCTCAGGTCAGCGTCCTTCAGCACGAACGCCTTCGACGCTTTGCCCCAAATGACCAGGTCAGCGAAGGAAGTCCTCGATTATGTCATGGGCATTTTTTTCGTCAACAATAAATGGCACGAAGCGGCTGTCGAAGTCGGAGCCAATCCCATTTTCTTTGGGTCTGACCTTAAGCGACTTGCCCTTGGTGAAGATTGCCGAGAACTTTACCTGGCAGCTGCATCCATGGACTGGAGCGGAGATTTTCAATATGAAGCCCAGTTGGCCCAGTCCCTGAAAGGCCCCCGATACGACATCGGCAACGCCCTTTCGCGCATCCAGGGCGCTGACATACGGTTCACATTGAACATTCAAGAAGATAGCGATACCATGGATGACCATACCAAAGTTCAAGACTTTGCCAGTCTGTTCAATCAGGAGAGCGATGAATTGACGACTTGCGTACTTTATTATAACAAAGGTCAGGGACACCTGGAGGAATTCTACATCCCGGGCCACAAGCTGCCATGGAAAAGTCTCTATAGAATACCCTTACAGTACTCTCTATCGGCAGAAAGCGGGAAGTCGCTCGAATGGGCAGTAGCTCAGGATGTAAGCATATAGTCTGGCACCCAGCGTTGAAACACACGATCGCAGCCCTGTTTGGAACGCATGGCTTTGGACCGATGACGCATGTCATTTCTCACCAGCTGCGCAGCGGAAGCTCGCCGGTGTTGCATATGGATAGATAATGGAGTATTTCTTACTAGTCCTTGGTATATCCTGTTATGACTTTCGTGACTGTGCGATATGTCTGCCAGTGAGCGATGTGAGCCCATGATTGAAGCGACAACTGGGATCTCATCGAGACAGAAAACGCGAAGGTGGGGAACAAGATGCGTGGCGGGCGGCGTTTTCATCTTTAACCCTTGATTTGTCAAGACTTTGTCATAGAAAGTGACTATGGCACGAGTGTGCTCACTCGGAGTTGAAGACCCCTGTGCAGTGAGGTGAAAATGAGAAAGTTGTTCTGAAAGCGCGCTCGAGGATGCCTCGAATGACGCGAAACCCCAAGACCCCTGATCAGACACGCTCAATGAACTACACGGGCCTGATAAAAACCTGGATCTATTGGCCGCTTCGTGCTGAGTAACAAGGGGGACTTGGCATGAAGCCTGTTCGTTTGGCCTCTTATCTTGTGTCAACCATAGACTGCAGGGGCGTGCTGCACGAGAATAGTACCGTCCGAACAGCCTGCTCATCAACAAGTGGCTGTGACGCAGCAATATTGGCATCGAACCCCACAGCCGGTTGCGAACCCGACTGCACCTTGACGCTGGGGAACATCGATTCATGCGCCAGGCAGTCCTTTCTGTGATCCTGACACTCATCATGATGTTACTGGTTCAGCACAGCCTGCTGGCCATGCGTCAGCTCATCTCCGTAGTCAGGGTCGCTTCCGCTTCACCAACCCAGATGGCTGTTAGACACATGGGCTTGCGCGAGCTGTTACAAAACATAGTTGGCATCTCCACGACGGTTACCACCGGGACTCATCACCACCTGCGCGAATGTGAGTCGTGTAATCTGAAAAGAATCCCCAAATGCCCAGTTCAAACAAAAATTACAAATAGCACGGCGTTTCCCTCTGTCCCCAACTTCACCTTCTGCTCTACCACCATCAAAGACCCAACAACATACTCAGCAAACCCTGCGATACAGTAGCAATGGCTCCTCGAATTTCTATACAAGATCTGGTCATACCCGACAAGCACACAGCTCTGAACGAGCCTGAGGTCTGTCTTGAAGACGTGTTTAGACCACAAACCCCACCAGCGCATGATACGTCGTCAACAAACGTCCAGCACCACCGAATGCGCCAAGATGTTGAACCGTTCCCCGGGATAGCGAGCAATATCATGCCGGTCAACCAGTTGCTGTCTCCTGCGAAGCTGAGTTCCTCAGGGGAACCCACCTTCGACGATATCTTCTCGGTGCACACCTTACAGTCGACTGCGGTAACGTCCTCGAGTATGGCTCTCCAGAAAGAGATGTTCAGAGGTTGTGGCATTCCGAGTCCCGCCATCTATCCAGTTCAGTCATGCCCTGCCTGCCTACACAATTCGTTTATGAGGTGAGTAAGACTCGCATACCTTGAAGAGGCGGACCATTGCTAACAACCTCTAGTACTTGTTCATGGGGTTCTCTGTGCGACCAACAGCATCTTGACATCTCTGTCCCAGTTACCTGCAGATCGGCCTGGCTCTGTCCGACCTACTTTTACTTTTGTGGGTGGCATCATGGTTGTGGAAGCGGTGCTGGGGACCTACTAGAAAACTGCATGTCGAGCAACTATTGCGTGGATAGCGCGCACCTCGAAGCCGGACTCACCCACGCATGCCTTACAGCTGCTCCTGACTTGAGCTATGCTACACCGGCTGAGCCGCTCCAACCGTGGACCTACGGCTTCGGCGCTCAGCCTATCCCGCAACAGGACTTTGTGCTTGGAAGCGGCAATCATTGGGCTGTAGCTGGTGTAGCTGGTGAGCAGTTTGGGCCGAACAATGTCCCAACAGCAGCCTTTAATGACCGGATAACCCCGCTAGATGATTGAGCGGTTCATATTTCTTGTATGTATTAGCTTGTCCACTTATCAGCCAGCGATGTACGGTGTAAGGCGACAGGCGATCGATGATACATAGGAAAAGATAATTATCGATCAACAGTTCTAGAAAATCGAGAGCGGCGATGGAGCAAAGTACCCTCTTTCACTGCGGAATGCATCAAATTGGGGTCGCATCAAGGGTCGAAGCAATCAGGTTGGTGGCTTGGAAATGAATGTAGTCTCTAACTCTACATGCAATGACACTGGCACACTGCCAATAAGTCCTTCGATGCCCGCCCTGTCTATGCCACACTTGCAATTATGTTCTCATGCTCCGTACCAAGTCGCCATTGCTTCAACATGGCTGCGATCAAAGAACAACCGGCCGCCGTGCCGTCCAAGCCCACACGGCGGATAAATTCAAGACGTCCCACTGTCGACTCACTGGCTTCTGTGGAGTCTTCCCATTCTGAAGTCTCCTCCGCGTCGATGACGGCGCATGTGTTGGGATGATGCCTGAAAGTGCTGGGTTGGGTCTCTGCCGGTGTCTGCTCTGGTCGGTTCCGTGAGACGCCCTGTTCGTCGTTTTTTGTTGCAGAGCTCAGCGCACGCAGCCTCATGCACTTATGCGACTGACCGGTGGCGCAGGTGATACGGTGCTGAGTTTGACCAGGCAATCTCTTCGAGAGAAGCGCAGGGTGCAATGTTTCTGGGAGACTAGGTACAGGGGCCATCGATTCTTGTTGCCGATCGCGGGTGGTATCCTCGGCTTCCGGGGTTGTAATTGAACATTGAGGGCTATCCGCGTGAAACGACATAGTAGAAACCCAATCACTCACGACATCGAAAGAGGTCAAAGACTGCGGCGACATATTGGTGATCAGCGATTGCTCGTAGACAAGATTTGTTGTTTGTGGGTGAGGCGCTCAGTGGAATATCGAGCCACCAAATTACAACTCATAGAACAGATTTGCTCTTGGGAGCACGCAGCAAGCCGTTGCTGGACCGGTGGATCCTCCCATGCTTCAGTAACTCCAGAAGCAGCTTCTCGATCTGGGGCGTGTGTATAAGAAAGCTCGCTTCTCGACTTCACTGGTGCACGCCCCTCGTCACGTCAGATCCAGATCGGCCACCCCTGCACCGTTGGAGCTCGATTCAACGACAGTCGATTTCACGCCGCAGTCTCTGCTCTGAGGAAGGAGGGGGAAAAGCACCCCAGTATCAATGAGACGGAGACAGCGGATCTGGATCCTTGCCATTGAGTTTACATCTGTTTGCTACCTACGAATCAACAAGCACCATAGTCTCCCTCATCTTTCGACGATCTCGCCCCTCCCATTCGCTCTCTCGGCGACGACTTTCACGGCCCGGCTTGCATTTGCAGGTTTGATCGTGGTCGGCTAGTAGTTGGCCTTGATTCGAAAGGTCCTCTTCTGCTTCCCACGTCGGACACGCATAGCCGTCCCACTTGACGGCGTACAGGGTGGTACCGTCATCAGTCTCACAGCACCCTACGATGCACTGAAGACGGGACATCCAAGCCGCGTGGCTCGGTCGAGGTCGCTCGACAGACTCCTGCCACACTTTGACGCAATTATCGTCTTCAAACACCCATAGAAACTGACGACCGTCTAGCCAATCCCACACGAGGGGTTCACGGATCTCTACGGCCACGCCATAGAACACGCGACCGCCACTTGTAGCGGTGCAAATGATTTCAGTCACCTCAAGGCATGAGGACCAAGCTGCCTGGACTATTGAACCTCGTCGCACTACCATCTTGATGTGTGTTGGTTGTGTGTTTTCGCTTTGAAGGGAGACAACGTGCTGAAAGCAAACCATTCGTTCGAGGATACGGGAAGCTCTCGAGAAACGATGATGGAAAACAGGGTTACATACTGCATCAGCGTCGAACACCATCAGGTAATCTGTAGTTGTTTATAAATAGGTACCGTAGGCAGCAAGCCCGTTTACAAACGTGACAAAGCCATTTACGCATACTGTTCGTCTTCGAAGCCAAAGGTGACTATCTCTCTTGTCGCTGGATGCTGTGTTTCAAGTCTTAAGCCCAGATCAGCAGTGACCATGTAGTCAGCAGTTTGTACATGGTCATTGCTGCGACAAACTCCAATACAGCACTGCGGCCATCCACCTATAACCGAAAGACGATCATAGCAGGCCTGTATATCACGCGCACACGTGGAGCTGGGAAACATGATAGGTACAACGGAAGATTTGGCTAGTCTTTGCTATCGTGACGCACCTTCTCGCAAACGCTGCCCTCGGGACGAGCCGGCATCTCTCGTCTGTGGCCTTCATGCTCCCTCAATAGCTTGGCAATGTTCCTCGACCGTGCTTGCTATTTCGTTCAGGACATGTCTGTTTTGTGGCAATACTAGCACTTTCAGGATGAGTTTATCACCGCCACTGCTGCCGTCAAACTCTACGTGAATGGTTACAGGCCAATTGTGCCGTGCAATGTCCTGCATCAGCGCAGTCGCAACAGCAAGTGATACGGCTGCGCTGAAATCGGTGGCGCTGAACTCGGCATCGCCTTTCGGCAATGGATCGTTTTGTCTTCTGTATATGTCTGGAGTGTTTGGCGCCGTACAGTACAGTCATCGTCAGATATGTCATCGGGTGTGGCGAGACTGAGACTGGCTTCGTCAGGTCAGCAGGTGCCATTGGCGATACGTACGTACGGTTATAGCTTACAGCTGACGAAGCGCGCCCTCTTCCGACCACCTCTGCTCGCAACCATTGAAACCCTTTCGAGTTCGTCGAGTTCGTCTTGGTTGAGAAACGAAGCCCCGAAAAGCTGTGCCGTCGAGTGATCCAGGGAAGGAAAGATTTGATCGGGCGTAGGCTCCATGTCGTAGAGAAGTCGGTGAACCTGTTCCTGGAGAATCTACAAAACAGACTCTGAGCGTTCACGGCAAAGGCTTGGTTCTACACTTGAGCCGCGGATGCAGTGCTCTGTATTTATACTTTTACACACCTGAGAAACACTCAAGTTATCTCCTGGAAAAAGCACTATCTGACATGATAATCTCTCTGATTGGCGATTCACCTATAGCTTTCGCCTGGGATGTACATGCGTTCATGTGACAGGTAGTTGTCGCCCCTCCCGCCGGGCCTCACGTATCTTCCTACGAAACGCTTCAGGTCGGCGGAAACCGACGTTACGATTGGCTACCTTAAAGTCTCATTCTGGATTCTCTCACTATGACGATGCTCCTCGCACCTGTCCACTCACAATCCCAGTCTGCCACGCTAACACCACCTCCGCGAGGCCCTATTTCTCTCCGTATACAAAATTGCTGCAATGACCGGTCCTGGCCTGGCTTCCTTCTTGTTCCGCAGCATGCTCAAGACGCCCGTCTTCGTCAGACTAATCCCGTTCTTTAGCATCTCCGTGACGACACGCACAACCAGCTGTGGGGAGTCCTGCAAAAAGCGTGATGCCGCCTCGTCGTCACGCTGGGATGCCACCCAGAAACAGTGCGAATACACCACATGGAAGATCTTCAGCAGCTTAGGCTCGCGCGTCAAAAGACTAATGACGATCCAGTCGTCTCGCGCGTCCGCAAGCCGCGCCAGCTTACTGAGGATGCTGCACAACACTGCATCGTCCATCTTGGCACCGCGTCGCAGCAGGATCGACGCCATGAGCGGATTCCCATGACACGTGGAAAGTGTCCAACTGAGGCTCGTTGCGCCATTCGAGTCGCGCTTGTCGACATCCAGGAGACCGGAAGAAAGCAGCATCTCGGCCTCCCAACGGCGTCTCATCCGGATGAGCTTTAGCAACAGGGGCCCAGTCCAGTTGCAGCGCGCCGATATGCAGACCGTTGCGTTTGGGTCGGCGCCTGACTTGAGAAGGTAGTCGATGAGTCGTTGCTTCACCACCGCCGTCCTTCCATCCGTTTGCTTGGCCCGGGCCAGGAGAGCCAGCTCGAGTGGCTTTTGCTCGAAGATGAAGAGCGCCGGGTCAGCCCCCTCGACCAAGCCGTCCGACTCGCCCGTAGCGTCTGCTCCGGCTTGTAACAGAGCCAGGGCGGCCGAGAACATGCCGTCTTCGCAAGCCATGCTCAGCGCCGTCATGCGCCATGTGTCGATCGTCGTAGGCTGATTTACATCGACGTTGAACCGCGCTAGGTGGGTTATGACCGTCTCTGGCGACGGCGACAACAGGGAGTGGATCAGCGGCGTGTCGCCGTTGCTATCAACCCTCTCCACCGCCAGTCCTTTCTCCTCGATCAGATACGTAATGACCTCAGTCAGTCCAGCGGCGGCCGCTTGGTGGAGCGCGTTGATCCCAAATTCGGGAGACTCGAGACGCGCGCCACGGCGGAGGAGCAGCATGGACGTTTCTGCATCCCGACTGAGAAGGGATATGAAAAGAGGAGTCCGCAGCCGGCAGTCGGGGACTCCATCGATATCTGCACCATGATCGAGGAGAAATGACACTATGTCTGGATAGCCTTTCGAAGCAGCGACGTACAGGGCGGTGACGAGAAAAGGGCTGGGTTGTTGGGCCTCGATCACGAACATGGTAGCTGGTTTGTTGTAGTCAGCGCCGGCTCGAGAAGCATGCCTGAGCGTGGCGAGGGCCACCCGCGTGTCTGTGCAGTTGGAAATCGTCCTGAACACGGCGGAGTACTGCCCCGTTCTGACATCTTGTCGGTAAAGCTTGGGGTTGAAGAACGAATGCCAGGCGCGCGAGCATCGCGTGAACCGAGACTGAACATAGGGTTCGCTGTGATTGAAGATGTGCCACGCCACGTCTAGGGATATGGGCTTCATGTTGAACAATATGTGTTCTCATTAAGCGAGGCGACGTCGTTTGTGACAAAAGCGCAGCGATGAGAGAATACATCGTGATACGGTCAGACTCGCCGGCTTCATATCCAACCTAAGAACGGAGACATTGTCTACCGGACGGCACTCTACGTCGGAAACGACTCACGAGCTCCATTTCAAGGTCGTAGTCGGCGCTGCCGTGAAGACAAAGATTTCGTTTTGCGATCCAGGCGTTGCGGTGCTTGTTTGGTGACTAAGAAGGCATCTTGTGCGTGCTTCGGGTCCGCTTGTCAAGACACGCTTCCTTCAGCGACATCCTCTTTTTGTCCCCACATTTAGAGGTCGAGATCCAGGCGTCGGGATGCCTGTCTACTGGTCCCCAGTTATCTTCAGCGTCCGTCTTTGGCCCTCAACAGAAGCCCCTTCCAGCCAGGCTTCCCAGCCACAGGCATGTGCCCCACTCTGTTGACCACCCTGTCTGCCAGACTCAATTTGACTCTCGCAAATTGCCACTCAGACCCCAGCCGAATCCATTTCCAGCTTCTCTCCAATGTCTCCAGACACACGACAAGGGTCTCGCTTCCCGATTCGCTACCCTGTGTGCATCGTCCCGACCTGGGTCTTTCGGAAATCAATTTCGCCTTTCGAATTCCAGCTCGAGAGACGTCTTCCTGGCCACACAACTTGGGCCGTGCTTGCCAGCATAAAGGAGTCGCTGCAACTCGGCGGCTGGCGCCCATTCGGACTGTTGCTGGGGGTCTTCCCAACACATGCAACATGGACCCTCCGAAAAGCCCTACGCGTAAGCCAATAGTTCTGCATCCGATGGAAGCCTCTGGCGCCCATTCGGACTGTTGCTGGGGGTCTTCCCAAGACATGCAACATGGACCCTTTGAAAAGCCCTACGCGTACTGTAAGCCAATAGTTCTGCATCCGATAGAGGCCTCTTTTGATGTGTATGTAGACAGGAGCAATAAACATCCACAGAATAGGGGCCTAAGATACCCTGCTGGGCAACATTTGGTAACTATGGTGAACCCATCCGCGAGCATCATGTACTCAGAGCTTCATTCCGTGTTCTCGCCTTTGCGGTTTACGCCGCCAAGCGAAACGCCCTCTGCGCAGAACTTTCCACGGGACCATGGTCCGACCTTCCTCCTCTGTGACTCGGATGAAGAGGGCGACAGTACCAAGCGGGAAAGAGTACCCAAGAGAGGCCGCCCGCATAAGGAAACAAGCTCTCCACCCAGCACAGCATCCCCAGATGTTGCAACTAAAATCAAGACTGCCTGCTTTGCAGCGACTCAACACCATGAACCGACCAAGAAGAGCGAACCAGCGCCTTCGCCTAGAGTTGTGCACGTTTTTGTAGAAGCCTCCATAGATAGGTCGCTCCATCTTAGAACAGCCAGTAGTGATGGCGAGATAATCACCCAATCGTTTGACTGGAATACAAGCGGCCCGAATACATATTCTACTGGGTGTGGCATCCCTAGACCGGACTCGCCTACCATATGAATACGCTTGGTCTCATTACTGCATCATCCTGTAATAGACGTACATTCAGGTGCTCCATGGAGAGTGAAACAAGAAGTGAGCGGTTGGCGGAAGACTGTGCGGCGAGTTTGCACAGGAGGATACAGATGTTCTCACAAAAGGTCATGAGCTGCCGGTATGTGTGCTGCGGCAGGGACAACATCGAATTTGACTGTGTTTGCAATAGTTAGTTGATGCTTCAAACTATAGAAAACACCATTAGATAGGAATCGCGTGGCTCCTAGAAAGCTCGTCGTCTCATGCACCATTCTCACATCTGAGATATTTTGCCTCTATGTACGGCAGCACGCCATGCTGGGCGTAGAAATGATACATCCTTTTCTGGTAGGCGCCGAGCATGCTCAGGTCGTTCCCATGTTCCAACATTACATAGGTCCTCGGCCAGT